TCTCTCTCTCTCTCTCTCTCTCTCTCTCTCTGTCTGGCTCAGTGTCTCTCTCTCTCTGTGTCTCTGTCTCTCTCTCTCTGTCTGGCTCAGTGTCTCTCTCTCTCTGTCTGGCTCAGTGTCTCTCTCTCTCTGTGTCTCTGTCTCTCTCTCTCTGTCTGGCTCAGTGTCTCTCTCTCTCTGTGTCTCTCTCTCTCTCTCTCTCTGTCTGGCTCAGTGTCTGTCTGTCTCTCTCTCTGTCTGGCTCAGTGTCTCTCTCTCTCTCTCTCTCTCTCTGTCTGGCTCAGTGTCTCTCTCTCTCTCTCTCTCTCTCTGTCTGTCTGTGGGACAGACCTGACTCTGGTTGAGGGTGTGGTCCCTAGTCCCCCTCCTGCCTGCAGTGACCCCCCCCTCTGTGTTGACCATTGTTATGTTTCCTCCTTCCTCACAGTTTGATGGCTTCGAGGAGGTGGTGCTGCCTGATCTCGAGGATGACGAGGAAGTTCAGAAACTGCCACCTCCCCCCAGGAACAAGAAGCGAAGGGAGGGTCACACACACGATAAGGTAATGGAGATGTGCTCACTCTGGCCTCAAACGGGACCAGGGCTTATTGATCAGCACGAGGCCTGTCCTCCTGCATTGGGCTGGGGTTTGTATCTATTCCTCTTGCACCCTCCCTGTCCCCAAGCTCGGAGATTGTGCCCCTGTCCCCCCCCCCTCCCCCACCACTGTCCCTTGGGTGGGGGAGCGTGGGCCCCCCTCCCCTGTCCCTGTGGGCACTGGGGTGGGGGGGCATGGGCCCCTTGTCCCTGGGATGGGAGAGTCCCTCTCACTAATGTGCTGTCTCTCTCTCTCTCTCTCTCTCTCTCTCTCTCTGTGTTGGGCTGTCAATCTGCTGTTTATCTCATGTTTGCTGTGTTGCCTAGAGCCTGGACTCTAAGAGCTCGAAAGGAAAAGATTCTGTGAGTGTTCCAGAAGCCTGGAGCCCGCAGCCTGGGAATAAGGATCCTGGGAAAGCTGGTGATATGGTGGAGGATTACCTGGAGCAGAGGGAGGATTCTCACACTCCAGATCCAAACAAGACCAGCTTAGCTTTCACAGCCCCATCTTCAGGTCTGTGTGCGTCACTGAGTGTGCGTGCCATGTGTTACCCGGTGTGCACCAAGTACGAGGGCCAGTGAGTGTGCGTGTCTGTGTGCATGTGTCAGTAAGCGTGCATGTCAGTCAGTGTGCACACACGTGCATGTCAGTAAATGTGTACATGTATGAGTCAGAGTATGTCAGTGAGCATGTGCATGTGTGTACATGGGTGTCAGTGTGTGTGCATGTCAGTGCGTACATGCGTGTTTCAGTGAGTGGCTGTCTGCGGGTGTGTCAGTGTTGGGGAAGGGCTGAGGAATTCAGCTAAAGACCCGCCACTGGGCACCAGATGAGAAAGGCTTACATTGCTGTAGCACCTTCCACTGTTAGGGCTTTCCAGCCATGGAATGCGTTTTGGATTTTGGTCACTGTTGTCATGTCAGAAAATCCTGAGCCAGTTTACATTACAAGCTTCCACAAGCAGCAGTGTTGCTTGTTCCCAAATAATCTGTCTCTTCTGGGTGGAGACCAGGAAGCATTTACCCCACTCGTCACCCATTGTCCTGTTGGAGTAGTCAGTGGGGAATTGGCTCTGGGTTGTTTAGACCAAAACATCGTGAGAGATAGGAACTGGAGTAGGCCATTTGGCCCCTTGAGCCTGCTGTACCAAACCTCATGTTCATTTTCCCCTTGATTCCCCAACTGATCAACAATCTCTCTACCTCGGCCCTAAATATACATAAGGACTCTGGTCCCACAGCTCCCTGTGGCAAGGAATTCCAAAGAGAGACAACCCTTTGAGAGTAGAAACTCCTTCTCATCTCAGTCTTGAATTGGTGCCCCTTTATTCTGAGACCGTGCCCTCTGTTCTTAGGGGAAACACTCTCCATGTTTACCCTGTCAAGCCCCTTAAGAATCCTGTATGTTTCAATGAGATCATCTCTCATTCTTCCAAACTCCAGGGCGTAGGGTCCCAGCCTGTTTAGCCTTTGCTCATAAGACAGCCCCTCGATACCAGGGATCATCCTAACGAACCTTCTCTGAACTGCCTCCAATGAAATGCTGTCTTCCCTAAAATACGGGGACGTTTGCGATGCTCCCTGTAGTTAAATAGCCCACATGAGGAGTATCTCTCAAGCATAGGGGAGGGGCCTGGAGCCAGCTCAGTTTAGGAAGGGTGTGATCAGCGGAACACTGTTTAGATCCGAGAGAGAGAGAGAGCGCGAGTCTCAGGCCCCTTGCTGTGTCCATTGGGCAGACCCTCCAGTTGCTGTGTTTTCTTCCTGCAGGGAGGAGTCAGTGTCTGCCTTCGGTGGCCTGTGACGAAGGTGACCCCTGGGGGAGTCTGCAGTCCCCGGGCCCTGACCATTCACTGGAGGACGGGGACGAGATGGAGAGTGCGGTCTCTCAGTTCAGGATTGAGGCTCCCAGCTCCCCGGCAGGATCCACCGATGGGACCTGGAGCCCTGTGGCCGAGGGAGAGGGCAACAGTGAGAGCCAGGGGGATAGGGGCTGCTCCTGCGACAGCAGCCCCCCAGAGTGGGGAGTCGGGGGAGAGGAGGAGGCAGACAGAGGAGGAGTGATGAAGGGCACGTGTGGATTGCAGGGAGGGGAGCAGGCCCAGCTGGGGCTAGCGAACACGTTGGAACCCCAGCCTGCTCCCGAGATGGACCCACACGGCAGAGTGGCTGTTGCTGGGGAGCAGTCCCCCCAGGAGGTGGGGAAGCTGGGAGAGGGAGCGAGCCGGCCGACAGAGGAGAAAGGGACCCTTAGCGGGATGTCCCGACATCCACCAGGACACGCCTCAGTTAAGTTTGCCTCAGCCGGAGCCCAGATCCGCTTCATGAGCTGCCAGAAGCTGTCTGATCTCTCGCCCATCGACCTGAGGCTCACGCTGGCCTGCAGATCAGCACCAGACGGAAGCTTCCAGAACAGCGGCGACCATGAACCTGCGCGAGCCCACACTGCCACCCGAGACAGCCCAGCAGTGAGCCCTTCCCTGGGCCATGGCTCTGACAGCTCACTACCACAGACAGAGAGCGGGGAGCCGTCTGCAGGAGAGGGCGATGAACATTACACACAGGCCCAGGCTGCAGTCTGTGCTCAAAACACACGGCTCAGCTCAACAGGGGAACGCGTGGTGCTGTGGACAAGGTAAGGCCAACTCCTCCCTCTGTCCCTCTGTGCTGGCCGCTGCTCAGGCATTGCTCGCTGTATGGGGGAATATCACAGTAAAAACTGAACTCTGTAAAGGCCTCCATATCTGTATCTCATCGGGACTGTGGGAGCTTTACTCTGTGTCTTACCCTGTGCTGTCCCTGCTCTGGGAGTGTTTGATTGTGGGGGAGGGAAGGGGGAGAACAGTGTAGAGAGAGCTTTACTCTGTCTCTAATCCCATGCTGTCCCTGCCATAGAATCCCTACAATGTGAAACCAGGCCATTGAATCCACACCAACCCTCCAAAGAGCATCTCACCCAGACCCCCTCCCTATCCTAAACACTTTGGGCAATTTAGTATGGCCCAATCCACCTAGCCTGCACATCTTTGGACTGTGGGAGGAAACCGGAGCACCCGGCAGAAACCCACACAGACAGTCACCTGAGGGTGGAATCGAACCCGGGTCCCTGCCGCTGTGAGGCAGCAGTGCTAACCACTGAGCCCACCGTGTCCTGGGAGTGTTTGATGAGGAGCCCATTGTAGAGGGGCCTTTACTGTGTATCTAACCCCATGCTGTCCCTGTCTTGGGATTGTTTGTTGGAAGGACAGGTAGAGTTAGCTTTATTTTCCATTTGAAAGAGTCGAGGAAGCTTTACTGAAATGGAAAAGCTCTGCAAGTGAAATGATGATATTGATGTTCCCTTTGTCTGAGTTCAGCACAGTGTCTGTGAGCATTCCCCTGCTCCTTCTAGCACACACTGTCTCAGTGGGTAGGAGCAGGTACCTGTGTGTATCAGTAACCCAGGGTTTGTCATGCTGCAGGGAGGCCGATCGAGCGATTCTCACAGCCTGCCAGGAGAGTGGAGCCAATGAAGAAACCTTCAGGCAAGTGGCACAACAGCTGAACAGCAAGTCATCCCAGGAGGTGAGCCCACTCAGGCAGGTCCACAGGGTTAAATGGTTTCCTCAGATTAAAGTTCTCTGTCACTGTAAAGATTAAACCGATGTGAGGGCTCTTGTGGTGTGGTAGTATTGTCCCTGCCTCTGGCCCAGGACACCTCGGATCAAGTCCCATCTGCTCCAGAGGAGACTTGTGACATTTCTTGAAAGGTTGATTTTAAAAAATTATCTAAACAAAGAAAACTTAAACTGACACAAATGAGTGGGTCATGAGCATGTGTTTACCTGGGCCCTACGCTCTGGAGTTCCCTCCCTATCAGCCTTAAAGCTGACCTCTTTTTAACAGAGCTTTGAGTGAGCTGCCGTATCATCCTCTTAAGAGGGTCCAAACCAGATGAAATGTGTAGACTCTACAGGAGGGACTGCTGGTTGTAATATTCATCCTGGCGTAGAGCGGCTCATTGCTGAGGTTCTGTCTGTCCATTCACTTTGTAGGTTTCACAGCGTTTCCGAGAGCTGATGTGGTTGTTCCACACCTCGGGCGATGCCAGTACTGACGAGGAAGAGGACGCTATGAGCAGTAGTAACCCCGAGCAGCTCTCTGATCGCCAGGTTTCCGATGAGGAACAAGACTGATCCACACAGAGTTGCTGGATGTGAGCGTTGTAATTACACAAAGGGAGCTGGGAGGCCGATGAGAATGAGTGACTAATGATGGATGTGGCTGAGAGATACTACAGTGGGGGGGAAGGAACGCTGAGCTGTGTCCTCTTCCGCAGCCTAGTACGTTTGAATGTTGTGGATATCCATCTTGTTTGCTCGATCATTTTTGTTACGAGTATTTTAAATCACTGTGCTGGTAAGTATATTCCAGGTTTAACCAGCTGGGTTATTCCCTGTGGCCAAAGGGCACTCCCACAGTGTGGATTTAAGTCAGAGGGTTTGCTGGCTGGCGTTCCTCTAACCAGAGCCAGGGTGGGGAGGGATCTCATCACCTGGATCTTGACTGATCGTTTTGTACTACTTTGCTGTCGATAGTCAGTCCTTTTGGGACTGTCACCAGGCCCAGGTTGTGTGCCTGGGTTTGAATGTATTGTCTGTTTTCACCGGTTCTGCAGTTAATGCCAGCAGCACTGTTATGGAGGAATTCTCGGGCAGTGAGGGCTGTGATTGCTGGTCAATCTCCTGCTGCATGTGTGTGTGGAGGGGCCCTGGCCTCACTGGATTCCAGTGCTTCAGGCTGTACCCATACTGTTCACATTAGCAGGGGGCGAGGGTTGCAGTTTTAATCAGTGAAATAATTCAGACATAATCATGGTTTGCCAAACGGAGAGTCTATATTTTCTTACTGACTGTGTTGTATTGGGGAGGGAGAGTAGCCGGGGGTTTTAAGTGTCGTACTGTCGTGAGCTGGAGCGTGCAATGGGGACTTCATTCCACAGGGAGGGGGGTTATTTTTAATGATGCAGACTGTCCAAACCCTCCCAGTAACTCACTGGGTTCACTTATCAGTCTGACACTGGCTCGGAAAAGGGTAGACTTCAGAGGAGGACAAAAAAAGTCTGTGCAAATGGATCCAAAGCATGAACAGTGATTTACCACCAGCTAGTGCCAGATAAGTCTTTTTTAAATTGCTGTAAATTAAAAAGTGTAATGTATTTTTTGTACATCTTAAGTTATAGTGAGTGGCTGTCTGTAAGTTTGTGTTGCTAGCACTGTCAGAGTCAAAAATAGCTGAATAAATGTTTTGACACTGCTGTCCCTGTCACCTTACTGAAAGTACCAGACCACTTCAGGAAACAGAGTTAATCTCAGTGTGTACGCTGTCTAAAACAAACAGCAAAGTTGGTGTCGACTACCATTTCAAGTTTTAATGGAAAAGAAAATAGCTAACACTGTGTATCTTTGTTGTTTAAGCAGCCTACTGTCTCTCTTTGAGGGACCCAGTATTTACACTGAGCTTTTAGGTCAGAAGGCATTTCTAACTCCCCTGTGTAAGGAGCAGAGGGAGGTAACTATTTGAGCAGGGTTGTGTCGCTCCCTGCTAGTGAACATATTTACAGAGGTGGATTCCCATTTTGCCCTGTTTACTCAGGGCGAACACAGGGAGGTTTAGAGCATTCTCTATTCACCATCAGAGTCATCTTCTGATTCATCCATATCGAAGTTCATTTTGTAGCACTGCGACAGGTTCTTCAGCTCCTCCAGCACCTCTCTGAAGTCATCCAGCTCAGTGCCAGCAGAGAGAAAGGTGCTGAACTTGCGAAGGTTCAGACGGCTCACCTCCTGGTACAGACTGTGCAGGACACTGTGTAACACCGGTGACGACTGAAGGGCACTCATCACAGGAATACTCTCAACAGCTAGGGAGAGAAAGAGGGGCTTTTTCAACCTGTCCCCAATAAAATAAAGAATTAAATCCACCCCCCTGCCCCACCACACAAACACTGAACCCCAATGGCAGGGATCTCAGCCACTATCACTGGGGGGTGCAGCACTGATGGAGACTCTTTCCACTGAGCACACACGAGTCCAGAATGACTCCTTTTCAGTGTTAACTGTTTCTCTCTCCACAGACACTGCTAGAGCTTCTACAGTACTTAGTTTTTAGACAGGTAGACCTCGGTGGCTCAGTGTATTAGAAGCTCCGAGTCAGCCCCTGTTGTATTGACTCATCCTTGCTTCCTTTCTGTACAGGGTGAACTCTAGTATTAGTTTACACAGTAGTTTAATTTGTCAGCCCGATAACATCACACTGTGCAGCCTCTCACTCACCATGAGTTGAAGATAGACCATTTCCGACCAGCTGTCCCCGTTTGTTGAAGGATGAGCTAAAAAACTGTGGGTATGGAGTGGCCACGGAACATGGGGTTTGAGCCAGATGGACAGCACTGAGGAACAAGAAAGCATCAGTCACACACCATCACTGTTCTTTCCCCTTGACTACCACCACACAGTAACCTGTGCTGATTTTCACCTACCGTGCAGCAGTGGGGAAGTAACTGCGCAGGAATGTATTCAGCACATCCTCTCCAGTTGGACAGCTGTGTAATACAGAGGGTCCTCTCACTCCTGGAGCAAGGTTACTGAGGGGAAAACAAACAGGGATCATTACAATCACGTTTGCTGTCAGTAAAAGTAAAAACTAGATCCAAATGTGCTCTCTCAAGACCCATTACAATATAACGGTGAGGGAGGAAGATATCACAACACGGACCGTCTCAACGTGGACAAAAATACTCTAGAAAACATTTACGTTCAAGTGGGGTACAGTGCCAGTGGGGGGCACCATACTAGGGGAATGCTTGGTTAAAAAAAAACAGTTTGAAGGTTTACCTGACTTGTCTTTCACTGCTGACTCCTCGGATCACCACAGACTGTGCAAAGGTTTGGGATTCCTGAAAGTCTCCACATGGAGTCAGCCTGGTCCAAGGCAGTCCAGCTTGCTCTCTGCACAGAGCGTCTGGCATAGTGTCTGTGTCCCTTATGGGGAACGGAACAGAGGCAGATGCAGTGATCACCTGTGACCAGAGACATGGTCAGTCAGTTCTCTGCAATACAGCCTGTCCCACTCCACTCACATAGCCCCAAATCACTCAGACCCACACATCTCGTGCGCAAGTGTACATTCCCCAGAGACCAACACTTCCTGTGCCACAGTACAGTGTTAATACCCTGACCTCACGTGGCTGCCTTCCCTTTCCTCAGACTGAGGCAACACTGTGATTCTCTCAGTGGTACCAGGATCCAGTGCCTCTGCTCCCTTCCGACTCACCCTCACTACCCCCCCACTCGAGGGAGAGTCGATCGCGGCTGGAATCGAACCCAGGTCCCTGGTGCTGAAAAGCTGAGTCACCGTGCTGGATGTGATCTCCCCTCACCGTGGGAAGCCCAAGGGACAACGCGCCCCCCACAAGGTGATCTGTGCAAACACGGAGGGCAGGGCTGGCCCATGCTGGGTGTGAGGGGCAGTCTGCTCCTCCGTCCTGTGGGCAACGCTGCGTGTTCCCTGCAGAGCCCGGTAGCTGCTCCGAGAGCGCGGTACCTTTCTGCCGGCCGGGTTGAGAGCGTCCGCCAGCTGGGAGAGGGAGATGCCGGAAGACTGCAGCCGGTATGGGACGGTGAGAGTTTCCAGGGCGGTGGCGAGCAGCGCACTGCTGTGATAATTGAGAGATGCCTGTTTGGGGGTAAAACAGAGAAAGGCAGTGATGACAAGCAGTAGCCACACACCGGAACTCTCGTGCTGGCTGGATCTGCACTTTGACACCAGCACAGATTCCCGGATCCCAAACACCGCTGAGAAAACAATACAGTTCTTACAGGGCGTGCGCACAAATTCCTCAAAACCTTGCCATCACAGGCCATACAATGACTGCTGCTGTAAGGGTAGGTGACACTGTCTACCACACATCAAACCAGATGGTGTAAGCATTTTCAAGGATGCAGTCCACAGTTCATCCTGCTCCTGTGCCTATCCAACACTGAGCAGCAGCCAGGAACTGGACACAGATGAGATGCAACGTGCATAGATCCCAGATTCTGCTCAGCAGCTATGAGACTCGCTGTCATTCTCCAGCCTTCTGCCTGGAAACCTGCACACCCTTTCCTTCCAGGAACCAGGACAAAGCAACAGCAGCTCTCTCAAGACTAGGGAGCATACTTTTAAGGTGAGGAGAAAGATTTCAAAAAAACATAAGGGGAATTTTTTTTTTAGAATTGTGTTTTACACAGAGGGTGGTTCGTGTATGGAATGAACTTCCTGAGGATGTGGGTACAGTTACAATGTTTAAAAGGCATTTGCATAAATGGCAGGGGCAGGCAGGTGGGACGAGTTGAGGATTGTGGTTGGGCCAAAGGTTCTGTTTCCGTGCTGCGTGTGACACCCACAAACGAAGCCGTACTCACGTCATAGATGATGTGTGGGAAGCCGACGGGAGAAGGCCGTTTCCGTCCCAGAGCGTTCCTGTTCAGTGACATTGGGCAGAACATGGAGCTGCGACTCGACAAGTGCACAATGCCCATGACGGAGTTCAGCAGCCGGTAGACCTCCTTCACTGGGCTCTGCACAGTCAAGGGAAAGCAAGAGCGAGAGATAGTTACACTGACAGCTACACAGCAACGAGAGACACAGGCCACCAGCGCAGTGCCCCAGGTAGTGACTCACTGAGGGGGCACATGCAGGAGGAGAGAGAGGCCTATGGATTGAACCTCAGGCTCTGGGCTTTTTGGGGTGCACATATGGGAACAGATGGAACTGCTGCTCCCTCAAGGGCCCTCGGAGGTTCATGCACAGCTACTCACCCGGAGTCACAACTCAGAGCCCGGAACCTCGGAGCAGACACGCTGCATTATAGAAACATAGAAAATAGTTGCAGGAGTAGGCCATTCAATATGATCACGCAGTCTCAGTATCTCATTCCCACCCTCTTCCCATACTCCTTGAGCCCTTTAGCCAAAAGGGTCATGTCCAGCTCCCTCGTGAATATATCTAACAAACTGGCCCCCACAGGTTCACAACTCTCCTGAGGGAAGAAATTCTTCTTCATCTCAGTCCTGAATGGCTTACCCCTTATTCTTGGACTGTGACCTTTAATTCTGGCCTTCCCCAACATCAGGAACATTCTTTCCACATCTAGCCTGTCCAGTCCCATCAGGATTTTATATGTTTCTACGAGATCCCCCCTCATTCTTCTAAATTCCAGCAAATACAATCCCAATCGATCCACTATTTCCTCATGTCAGTCCTGCCACCCCAGGAATCAGTCTGGTGAACCTCCGCTGGACTCCCTTAAAAGCAAGAATGTCCCTCCTCCGATTAGGAGACCAAAACTACACACAATACACAAGGTGTGGCCTCACCAAGGCCCTGTATAACTGCAGCAAGACATCCTTACTCCAATACTTAAATCCGCTTGCCATTAGCTTTCCTCACTGCCTGCTGCTCCTGCATGCCAACTTCAGTGACTGTTCTACCAGAACACCCAGGTCTCACTGCACCTCACCTTCTCAACTGCCACCATTCAGATGATAATCTGCCTTCCTGTTTTTGCCACCAAAATGGATAACTACACATTTATCCACTTTATATTGCATTTGCCAAGTATTTTCCCATTCAGTCAGTCTGTCCAAGTCACCCTGCAGCCTCTTAGCATTCTCCTCACAGCACACCCTGCCACCCAGCTTAATGTCATCTGCAAATTTGGAGATATTGCATTCAAATCCTTCATCCAAATTGTTAACGTATATTGTAACAGCTGGGATCCCAGCACTGAACGCTGCAGCACCCCACTTGTCACAGCCTGTCACTCTGAAAAGGGCCAGTTTTTCCAAATCGCTGCTTTCTGTCTGCCAACCAGTTCTCTACCCACGTCAATACATCACTTCCGATACCATGAGCTTTAATTTTCCTTACTAATCTCTTGTGTGGAAACTGGGCAAAGGTCTTTCCAAAGTCCAGATACATATCTACTGATTCACCCTTGTCTACTCTCCTGGTCACATCGTCAAAAATTTCCAGAAGATTTGCCAAGGATGATTTCCCTTTAGTGAATCCATGCTGACTAGGACCGATTTTGTCACGGCTTTCCAAATTCTCAGTTATTATATCCATAAAATGATTAACTCCAGCATTTTCCCCACCATCGATGTCAGGCTAACCGGCCTATAATTCCCTGTTTTCTCTCTCCCTCCTTTTTTAAAAAGTGGGGTTACATTAGACACCCTCTGGTCCATTGGAACTCTTCCAGAGTTTTCAGAATGATGGAAAATGATCAACAATGTGTCTGCTATTTCTATGGACAAACCTACAGAACCTACACGCAAAGAATCCTGGCTGGGACCAGCTAAAATCTACAGGCAGAGTTAGAACCTGACACGAGCTGGACGAGATACCTGGCTGATACTGGCCCCTCACTACTCACCGTGTCTGTGTATGAGGCCGGGCTGAAACCACACGTGAATATGCCTTTGCCCCCGTATTCATCATTGAGCAGCTCCACCACCCGGGCCGAGAGACCTGCAAAGCTGTCTTGTAGATCACACAGAACGTGGAAGCCCTAGAATTACAACAGGGCATTAACCGAGAGCAGGCTGCCCCTTGACTCAGAGCTACACTCTCAGTCGTAACTTGGCTGAGAGACTTTGGCGGTGAGTGGGAGAATGAAGCAGAGAAGGGGAGACGGCGTTGGGGAGGAGGGTTTGGGCTGAGGAGGTTGTGGGGAGGTGGTGGCCTAGTGGTATCATCACTGGACTTTTAATTCAGAAATCCAGGTTCAAATCCCACCCTCTGTTCAATTACAAAATATCTGAAATTAAGAGTTGAATGATGACCGTGAATCAGTTGTTGGAAAAACCCATCTGCTTCTCTAAAGTCCTTTAGGGAAGGAAATTGCCATCCTTACCTGGTCTGGCCTACATGTGACTCCAGACCCACAGCAATGTGGTTGACTCTTCACTACCCTCTGGGCAATTAGGGATGGGCAATAAATACTGGCCTAGCCAGCGATGCCCTCATCCCATGAATGAATAAAAAAGAAAGACACCATTGAAACAACCTGACGAAATGAAACAAGGAAAGAGGTGGTAATGATCTTGCTTTTAAACAGTGGGTGGAGGAGAGGGAAAAACTTGAAGGATTAAAAGGAAAAGCCATGGGTATACAGTGACTCCATTCTGGAGGTGTGAGGACATCAGAGAGTACAGAATGTTCCACCCAAGGGGCACTGACCATCCAAATGAGAGCGAGAGTACCTGCAGATAGTCACACTCTTCGATGTAAAAGTGCAGCCTGTCCTCAAAATCATCCAGAAATGAATGATCACGGATCAGCTTCTCACCAAATCCAAAAGCTTCAAAGCGATCGGAGGTGCTGTGTGTATGAAAGCAGAAACATAAGGGATTAGTCAGCACCACACAGTGTGGTCTGGGCTCCTCTCTTCATATTCCCTGTGGGCATGAGCAGACTCACCTACTGTGGGTGTATTGCTGAATGACAGAGACGGTCTTTGGGTGAAGGTGCACTCTCAGGTAGTCAGACCAAACACTGACACTGTCCTCTAGCCGGTAGCTGCTCTGTGACAGGTCAAGGGCTCTCTCAGCCCCAGGCAATGCTGCACCTCCTGTCAAAACAAACAAGGTTAGAATGGGTTGGGGGCAGGGAGGAAATGCGTCAATGGTGAGGGTGTGTGTGTGTGTGCGCATGTGCCAGTGCATGTCAGTGTGCATCTGCGTGTGCACATCAGTCAGCGTGCGTACGTCAGCTTGCGTGTGCATGTCAGTGTGCACGTATGTCAGCTTGCGTGCACGTCAGTGCGCGCATACGTGTCAGTGTGCGCATACGTCAGCTTGCGTTTGGAAAGGTGTAGCAGCAGCAGCTGAAACACAAACACGAGGCTGAGTTACTGACACCTCCAGAAGGCTGAGACAGAAGCCACTCACTTTCCTCCCCTTGGAATACTCTGGAGTTGGGATTCCTGTTGGAGTCCAGCTCATCCTGAGGGAAGACAAGATGAGACAAAGCAGTGAGCAGGAGGAGCCAGCATTCCCATAAAGCCTTGGGACAGACAGTTGATATATCCCCATGTAACTCCGACACAAACATCAGTGGGGTACAGCAAGATCCCACAAAAATACTTATCCAAAGCACGACCGACAAATTGGAGTTGGGGAGGTCATCTCCCCTTGGATTAATGCGACAGGATCTTTAACGCTGACCTGAACCTTGGGAACCAGGAGCTGGGACTTGAGTCACCTCTTCACCTCCACACTTCATCCCCTGCCAGCTCCTTATTCATAGTATCCAGGCCAGTCTACTCAGATTGGGGAGGTGATGGTCTAACGATTCCATCTCTAGGCTATTCATCCAAGAGACCCTGGAATGTTCTGGAGACCTGGATTGAAACCCTGCCACGGCAGATGGTGGAATTCGATACAAACCTGGAACTGGTCTGATGATACCATGAATCCATTGTTGATTGTCATAAACACCAGTCTGGGTCCCTAATGTCCTTGTGGGAAGGAAACTGCCATCCTTACCTGGTCTGGCCTACATGTGACTCCACACCCACTGACACCTAACTGCCCTTTCAGTAATAAATGCAACCCTGGGCAGTGCAGCCCACATCATGTGAATGAATTAAAAAAGAACACCTTTATCAAATGTCGCCCTGAGCCTTTTCTGTTTTGAGGCAAACAATTCTAGCCCTCCAGTGTCTCCATGTGAATTTCAGCCCCTCACTGTCTGGTCCTGTATGGGTCAATCTTCCTCTGCACCCTGCCCCAGGTTCTTGTGGGGCCAAGGGTTGGACACAATTCTCCAGAAAAGACTAAACCATAGCTATCGAGGTTACAACATCCGTGTTTTTGTCTACAGCTCTTCTGTGAATAAACTCAAGGGTCCAACCAATTTTTTTTTTGTTTTTAAAAATACACTTTCTCCACTTCTCAGTGTAGGATTTCTGTAACCCCTAGGCTTACATTCTGTTGTGTCCCCTAGTTATTTTCTAACAAAATGGATCATTTCAACATTTCTCAGCATTGGAAGTGGATAGCCCATTATCTCTGAATATATCATGACATCCCCGAGGTCTGTAACTCTCCTCCTCCCTGCTTACTATAGCCCCCAGCACTGTTATATTTATAAAGTGTGACGTCAGGCCCTCTATGACCCGAAGCACTGCTATTACAGAGCAGTGGGTGGTGGCGGGGGGTTCACTGGACAGCAGAGCTCACCCCAGAACCTGCAGGAAGATCGCCGGACCCACCCTGGGACATGCTGTGCTGTACGCTGTCGAAACTCACCCAGAGGCCTGGCCTCACGATCCAGAAACAGGAGCTCAAATCTCCACCCAAATTAAATTCAGTGAACTATATCAGTCCAAAATCTGGAGCTGGTCTGAGTCATAGTGACCATGAAACTATTGCCTTGTTGTAAAAAGCCCATCTGATTCACTGATGCCCTTTAGGGAGGGAAATATGCCAATCCAACCCTGTCTGGGCCTACACGTGACTCCATACCCACGACAATGTGGACGACTCTCGACTGCCCTTTGAAGTGGCTGGAGAAAGCTGCTCAGATGTAGTCCAGAAGTTGAATCATCCACCACTCGCTCAGGGGACATTAGGGAGGGAACAATAAATACTGAGCCTAGCTGGGTTACACACACTCAGTGAATGATGGAAGGCAATGGGAATCTGTACCACAACAAGTGGGATGTGGAGATTTAAATGGCGAGCTGGGGTTACTAGAACACCAGACAATGTTCTGTACATGGTGCTTTCTAAAACAGACAGTAAAACAAACAGAATGGAGGAGTCCCCAGGATAACAGCAGTCTGAGGAATACTCACCCCAAGCCTGTCGAGCTGTTGTAGAAACTGATTCTTTACCGCGGGATCCTCCTTGTGCACGCTCAGGCTCCCCTTCCTGCATTCAACAAAAACGTGAAAGATTCTTCAATCCGATCTAGTCCCAAATCCCACACTCTCTGTAAAAACTTGTTCTTTCAGAGCTCAGGATAACTCAGGCAATGGAAGCAGTATCAGCTGGGATGGAAAGTTACAAAAACCAGCAAAGCTTCCAACTCTGCTTGGAGAAAATGCACAGGGTTGAATACTTTGATCTGGGTGTCAGACAGTCAGACTGTCCCCGAGCTGGGTGAATCAGTCAGGGTCTGGGGAGGTTACAGTCAGACTGTCCCTAAGCTGGGTGAATCATTCAGACTCTGGGGGTTACAGTCAGACTGTCCCCGAGCTGGGTGAATCAGTCAGACTCTGGGGGGTTACAGTCAGACTGTCCCTGAGCTGGGTGAATCAGTCAGGGTCTGGGGGGGTTACAGTCAGACTGTCCCCGAGCTGGGTGAATCAGTCAG